GCTTTATTATAATAGTATTGATGAAGGGAGTTAACCCTACGTATCTGCCTCCGTATAATCGGAAAGTTTTGTATCGAGTTCATCAAACAAAGCAACCAACAATGTATTCTTGTTAGTTTTTAAGGATCCACCACAATCATTTTTCTTCTTTATGTTAGTTTAAACAATCGAACAGCTGTGTGATTGGCGGTTGTTTCGCAGCCTTCAACTGTTTAGTTGCACAACTAAATATCAAGTAGTGTACCTCCATATAAGGTCATAGGAATCAAAGCGAGACTAGACAGTTGTGCGATGGTTTAGTCAAAAGTGAGTAATCTACTTGTTATTATCTTTGTCTTAATATTCGATGTAAACAAAATGTAAATTTCGGATAGTTTCCGTATTCCTTTATATTTAACCTTCCGATTGCCGTTCTGCTGAATAAATATGAGGTTGGAGATTTATTACCTTTTGTTACCGGTATGATTTTAATATTACTACAATGAAATAGATAAATCTATACTTCAAACTTTTTTTAATTACTTTGTTGTGTGTGATGATAAGATGACGATGATGTTATTTTATTTTTATTTTATTTATTTTTTAAACTTATACTATTTTCTTAAAATTTAATTCGTTTGAATTACCAAAGTTATTTAATTATAAATTTCTTACTAATGTTATAAATGTGAAATTTTAGATGGATGTTAGAGTTTGTCACGTAAACTGCTAAAGAGATCTTCATGTAAGTAATAGATACAGAGCATAGTCTAGAAGCAAACATAGACTACCTTTGTTTTTTATTCCACACAGACAAAGTCGCGGGCGAGAGCTAGTTGTATATCTTATACCAATGTCATACCACAAGTATTACACAAGTAAGATCTAGCCCACATAAGCGTTGAAGCTAAACGGACAAACCTCTAGCGTTTCATCTAGATTCTCCTGTTACTTAGGTTCAGGTTACCTAGGGCCGGTTCTCTAACTGTTTAATTCACTGAGATAATTGCGGTATAAATAATCAACGCATAGATGATGTTGGGTTTTAATAACAGACTTATTAATTTTTAGACTACTAGCTGTTGCTCGCGACTCCGTCCGCGGTATTAATTAAAAACAAAAATAAATAAATAATAAAATTTAACAGTGGTAGTGCCCGCTTTAACATCTTAGCACTGCAGGGCCGGCACACCCGGTGTAATACCACGACCACACAGAAGACAGGCGTGAAATGGGAGCAATTCCGTGTTTCGTCTGATGAGTGTGTGCCGGAGGCCTAATTTAAGTCCCTTTCTCTTTACCACCCTTTTCTTATAAGGAGAGGTTGGGAAGAGGACGTGGATTTGACGGTGGAGGAGATGCGTAGGAAGGGGAAATATCCTCTATATGTGCGTCTCCTCCTCCGTCGTATAAGGGTAGGCAACGCATCTGCAATTGCGGATGTCTATGGGCAGCGGTCGCTTCGCCATTTTGGCGGTTTCAGGTGGTCGCTTGCTCGTTTGCCACCTTGTTATATAAAAAAAAAGTAGCCTATGTGTTCTTCCAGACTATCCTGTACATCTATGCCAAATTTCATCCAGATCCGTTCAGCCTTTTAGGCAATAAACTCTAACAAACATCCATTCATCTAAACTTTCAAATGTATAATATTCATAAGATTAATTAGATAAGACTAGTTGTTGCTCGCGACTTCGTTCAAGTGAAATTAAAAATATACCCTGTTACTCAGTGAAAACATTATATTAATTGTAGATTTCAGGAAAATTGTATTTGCATCTTTAATTTAATCTTACTCATATTCTTAATTTGCGAAATCTATATAGATGTTTTTGAGAGTTTGTAGCCTAAACTGCCGAACGAATCTTGATGGAATTTGACATAGATGTAGAGATTAGTCTGGAAGAACACATAGGCTACTCATTTTTTATGTTAGTGATATATAATACGTAAATAAGGTATATAAGAGCAAGTGTGAGGTCGCAACTGAAACGGAACGTGGTCTTCACGCGCGGCGGAGGCTTTACCGGGTTGGATGAAGGTCGGTTGCTAAGAACATATTCCTTAGGTAGTTAAAATTCATGATTTTGATAAGATCACTTTGGTAAGTCTTATAAAACTAATGTTCTTTCAATGTTTACAATATATCTGAAGTTATCTTCTAACAAACATCCATCAGAACTTTCGCATTTGTAATTTATTTATTGATGAGCTGTTGACCGCGACTTCGTCCGCGTGGTATTAGAAAACATACGAATTATATAAATTACAAAACGCTACGTATCCCTCGGGAACCGGACATTTTTCTGGGATGAAGCTTATCCCATCTGTACTGCAGACTTTGTTTTATATATGTGCCAAATTTCAATAAGATATGTTGAACCGTTGCAGAATGATCGAGTAAACATTAAAAAACTAAATTAACGAATCCCACGGGAATCGTAACTATTCCCGGGATAAAAAGTAGCCTGCCACATTTCATCCATCATCCTTTCATCATTCATCAAACATCCATCCATCCATCCATCTAAACTTTCGCATTTATAATATTAGTAAGATTAGTAAGAAGTAAGATTTATTTATTGGAAAGGTACACCAATTGCATGTTCAAAGTTCACAACTAAATTAATACACTGTAGACAATGAAAAGAAAAAAGCAGAACATACAGATGACAGGCTTACATGGCGCTCACAACTTTTTTTACTTTTTCAATAACAAACGTTGAATCAAATATCAAATAGCTAGTAATATTAGTATTAAAATGCAACCATCTGAAACATTAAGAGCGGGCGTATTTGACTAAACTATCAGACAACTGTTTTGAGATTGTCGATTGTTTCGCAGCCTTCAACTGTTTAGTTGCACAACTAAAAATCGAGTTGTGTGCGCCCCATACAAGCTCATAGGAATCAAAGCGAGACTAAACAGTTTTGATAGTTTACTCATAGGTGCAAAACGTAAAAACCTATTTCCATGTAATATTACATTCTTTCGATTCCTTGCACTAAACGGATGTGAAAATATTCATTTTATTATCTAAATTGGAGTGTAATTTGTCAAAATCACAACAAACAGTCTGTTCTATTTCGGGACGACTAGTGATACAAAAATAAACCAAATCACGTGCGTCTTACGAAATAAACAAGTTACGGTATTTTCAACTTTATGGCTCTTGAAATAAGAGCAATTAAAATGTATTATATAAATTATTTCAATATCAGGAATGCACTGTCTTATGTTATTCCAAAATGAACTTTATTCCATAGTTATAAAGTACATTTTCTTGACAGATGTTTAAAAATAAAACTGACACCCGGATTGTGTCAAGTGGGGGGCGGGGAGTGACAAATGCAGCTTGCGATGACATCTGGAATATCACTAGTTAACGCACCTTGTGTTTCCTGAGTTATAATAACGAAGTTGTCGGAAAGTTTTAACACCTTGTGTGTCTCTGAATCTGCTAACGCCTTTTTTATTATGAAATTATTTTTGACTAGCTGTTGCTCGTGACTTCTTCCACGGTATATTAAAAAATATAGTCTTTGTATGATAAGGTTTTGAAATCAGCCCAGTAGTTTCAATACATACAAAAATACAAATCCTTCCTCTTTATAAAATTAATATACACTCTTACTCGCAACTTAGAACTCATGAAATTAAAACAAAAAATAAAAATGTAGCCTACGCTACTCACTGATAACGTATCTTTTGAATGGTGAAAGAATTTTTGATATCGGCCCAGTAGTTTTTGAGTTATTGCAATTCTTACAAAATCCAAAATCTAAATATTTTAGTTTGTAATATTAGTATAGGTAAAAAGAAAAGAAAAATAATCCATTTACAATAAAAAAAACCATAAAATTTGTATTCAAATGAATGAATTACATCTATATAATATCTAACACATGCTTTTGGCATTTGAAGGGTTAAGACAATTTTACCAGCTTGAGTGGAATTAACCTTTTCACCGCTATCGGTATTTTGTTCTGCAGCAAAATCTATGTTGCTAATTAAATACGCAAGGAACGATGGCATTCGGTTTGCAAAACGGGCAAAAGGTGTGCGGCGCCACTGGAAATAGACTGCTTCCTGTCCCTTTGCATACATAGTAGGGTGACCATACTAGAAGGGAAATATCCTATTTCTGTTAGTCGTCTATTAAAGGTGTAATCGCTTGAATTCTAATTATATTCTAGTGTTTACCCGTTTCATATTAGAGGATTTAAAATAAAATTTTATCAAGATCCGTTTTGTTGTTACCGGCTAATATACATACATCGATCAAAATTTTCCAATTTCCAATATTAGATGTCTATTGGCAACGATCAATTCGCTATTTTTGCGAAATTAAGTGGTTGCTTATCCATTGGTTATTAACTAAAACTGTTCTTTGATTGAGCCCTCTCATGTTTATTTTTTAACGAACCACGCAGCATATGAACTCCAGGACTTTTTCCATTTGTCCGGTTTTCATTAACTTAATATGGTAACACTATTGCTTCGTTACTTTATCTTAACTAGCGATCGCGCGCGCCGCTGTTCGTATATGGCAACAAATTATAATAATTTTATTCGATCGCTAACAAAGATTAAAACATATGCTTTAAACCTTGGTACGTTCATTTGTAAAATAAATATATTATTTACTATATAAGACAAATTTAAGATACCTGAATATCACATAGAAAAGAAGAAATTTCCTTCGTCTATGCCCTTTCTCTATGGATTAAAGATATGCTATTTGTATGCTTCTTCTTCTATCTTCTCCTTTTTCCAGTTATTTGGTGTCAGCCTTCCTTGTTCTAAGTCTCCAGACAACACGAATCTTAGAGGCTTATTCGTCAATATTATTTTTTCATATTCTTCTGGACCGTATGTAATTTATATGTAGATATTTATGGATAGCGATTACTTAGCTAAGTTGCAAGGAACTAAGTAGTCATCAAATTAGCTAAACATCTAGGTTTAACGCCAGATTTACTGAAACTTCTGGTTTACTAAGTTTATGTATATTTGTTTCCAGAGTGGCGAGCAACACTCCTCATCTGGTGAGCCTGGGCACCGGACGCCTCAGTACTGCTGTCACGTTGCATCCCATCAAACAAGGTAACTAGTGCTCTCTCTGTTTAACATTAGTAAAACTGAGATAGCAATAGGATTCATCAATTCATACTGTATCTACGAGCTGTTCCAGTGCGGCTTTATCCGCACTAGTTGTCTACATTTGTTAATTTTTAATTAAAATTGTTAAATTCTTATGCAGAAATGACAACAAAAGCCTGTGACATTAGATAACAATTACTGTTACCATGGCAATCTTGCTTCTTTAATGTTAGTTTAGTTTTTGTTCCTTTCCCGCATGTCGGTTTTATCCAAATTATTTACTCTCTAAATTTAATACCGTGAAAATATACAGCCTAAAGCGTGTAAGTGTAAGGCTTTTTATAAAAAAATGATTTATTTAAGAATATACCGTGATTGCTGACAACCTACATAACAAAGTGTGTATTATGCTTTATTATATTAGTATTGATAAGTAGATAATTCACACTCGAATGTAAGTGATCGGCAATGAATGTTTTAATCAAAGATTAAGAAATACATAGACTAGACATAGGGAACAAAATACTTTCACTGGTAACTTCTTTGTATGGTAAACTCAATGTCAAATGACACGCCGAGACACCTCTCAGTGTTTAAATTATTTGTTTGTTTGTGATTTTGACAAACGGACACCGTAAGTGAGATTATATGACAAATGTTTCACGAGAAGCATCTCTGCTTACTCTATGTATTTTTTTAATCTCATTGGAATTCTTCCAGGTCGTGTGACAATCGGCTCGGACCCAACATGCGACATTTACGTGGTAGGGACTGGGGTTGCCAGCGTTCACTGTCGAGTCGAGAACTCGCACGGTGTTGTTACACTGTACCCGCTCAGTGGAAGCACGCTGTTAGATGGACTGCCAGTGGAAAAGCCCACTAGATTATCACAAGGTATATATTGAAGCTTGAACATACACTACATACAGCTGTTGCCCGAGAATTCGTCGGCGCAGTAACAAACATATGAACTACAATAAACTACGTATTCCTCTGGAACCTGACAAGTCGAAGATGAATCGTATTCTATGTGTTACTCCAGACTTTGCTTAATATCCATGCCTTTCAATAAAAGTTCAACCGTTGCAGAATCATGGCTTAAATAATAAAAAAAAGGTTTTGTAGGTTCCACGGGAACTTTAATTATTTCTGGAATCTAAAATACCCTATGTTCTTTCAGACTATGCTCTACATCTATGCCAAATTTCATCAAGATTCGTTCAGCAGTTTAAACTACAAACTCTAACAAACATCCATCTATCTAAACATTCGCATTATCATCAACTTGCTCTTATCCCTACGGAGGTCGGCACAGTATATGCTGCTCTTTCATACATTTCTATCAGCCATCAAATCTCCATCCCGTCATTTCTTAAGCATATCCTCTTTCATACAATCCATCCATACTTTCTTCGGTCTTCCTCTAGCTTTGTAGCCATTCCATCTTAACACTATTGAACGCTAGTCCACTGCGTGTTGACGTCACATATCTTTGAATTTCCTTGCCGTTATGTGTAGGCAACACTATTTTAACTCTTATAATGAACAAGCTTTCGCCCGCGACTCCATCTACGTGGTATTGAAAAAACAAAAGTGAATAGCCTATGTGATCTTTCAAACTATCTTCTACATCTATGCCAAATTTCATCGAAATCCGATCAGCCGTTTAGGCTACAAACTCTAACAAACATCCATCCATCCATCCATCCATCCATCCATCCATCCATCCATCCATCTATCCATCCATCCATCCATCTAAACTTTCACATTTATAATATTGGTAAGATTACTATTTCTATATTCCAGGTAGTATGCTAACAATCGGTCGATCCAATTATCTCCGCTTCAACCACCCTGAGGAGGCGAAGCTGATGAAGTCGGTTTTACCATCAGCTCACGTCTCCATGGCTCCTATACAGTTCCAGCCCAACGAGCAATGTTTACCGCCAGGTGAGAATGCTTTTTTATATTATAAAGTGGCAAACGATCATGCCGCGGATTTCGCCAAAATGGCGAAGCGACTGCCCATAGACAGTCGCAATAGTGGATGCGTTGCCTACCCTTAATTAACGAGGGAGACGCAAATAAAGAGGATATTTTTCCTTTCTATGCGCCTCCTTCATATCCACTTTCCCTTAGCCTCCAATTCTAATGAGAAAAAAGGATGGAATGGAAAAAGGACTAAAATTGGGCCTCCAGCAGTAAGGGAAACGCTAAATTGTTTATATTAAATGTAAGTGTCACTATGAGTGTGCTTTAATAGCCTTTAAATGATTTAAGAGACCCGGTGTTGGTCTCTGAGATTGATTATTTTAGAAATTTAAAGAAAGGCAGAAGTTAATATTTGAAATGTTTAAAAATATGCGAATTCCGATTTGATTATTGTGTTCTTAAATTTTATACCATATATACTTAGACAGTAAATATTTATTTCTATTTCATTCCCCGCGCCGACGCAGTGACGAGT